AAACCTGGCTTCTTCTTTTGATTATTAGCTGATTCAAATCTGAATTTTCCCTAATCTTATCACTTATACTTCCCAGCACAGGGAGATGCCAACAAATTATAGTACAAAAAACACGAGCAGGAAAAAGGTGCATAATTAGACTAAATTTTTCTATGTAACTGCCAAAACTGCATGAAGAGCAACCGAGTAGTGCAGAGTTATAAAAGGTGTATTGGAGAATATGCAGATTCACGGATGTACTATTCTACCCATCGTTAAGTAATTCTCGTCAGGAAAAGGAAATCTGAGACATACCATGACGTCGAACTGTTCGGGTTTCGACACAAGTTGCATGTAACAGTTGTCGACAATTATTTCGTTGTAGGAGATGCTCGGATACTTCTTAGCAACTTCTCTCCAAGATTCCAAGAACAAACCGTCCGCAAGTTTCATGATGTTAGCCTTGTGCACCGCTGTAACTTTCTTCCTGTTGTTCAAGTAGGCATATTCGAAAGCGTATTTGGCAATACGCTCAGAACAGAACTTCGTGATCACCTGGCAGGCAGAGCAAATACGATCAGAAACCGGTAGGAAACCAAAGAAGATGCAAACTAACTAATGTGCAACAGAAAATGCTACTCAAAGAAGCAAACACAATAAAGGGTACTGAAGAGAAATCGACTCATAGATAAAGACAGAGTAATTAGCATCATTGGCAGTGAAGAAACAACTATTGCATCCAACGAAGAAACAGTGAACTGACAAGATTGTGTTTGAGAAGATGGTCATGTAAGGATTCAAGAAATAAGCAAGACATCCAGCCATATAAACCAAGTCAACATAAATCCTTACCCTCCAAACTAAGATTCCAAAACCACAAATCAACAAGGAGAGATTGAAAATGTGTATGCATCCCTCGAAACAAATCAAAACCAGATTTTTGGCCCAAAGCAGCACGAATTTGGAGAAGAACAATAATTCAAGCCGAGACAAAAAACGGGGAATTCTGAGAGGGGTTTACACCTTAAAGCTCTCAACAACACCGGGAACAACCTCTCGTGCTCAAGCCCTGAATACTCGCCTTCAGTATTCTCCCTGATCACGACGATGTCCACGTTCTTGTGTCCAGTGGGCAAACCAGGCAGGTTGAAGCAATTAACCAGAGTTGCGTAGAGATCAAGCTCCTTCCTCAGCTGAACATTCAGCAAGCTCACACCACCGCCGACCGGTGTCTTCAGCCCGCCCTTCAGACACACCTTTTTCATCCGTATCGAATCGAGCACCTCCCTTCACGTTCTTGTGGGTCGCCCTGTGACAGCCTAGCGCCTGTGCAAACCAAACATCTTCTTGCATCCGCCACACTCGAGTCGTTACCCCGAACCAGAGGGGCTGTTAGAGGAAGAATCGTTCTCTCGTTGAGTGCGGACACCGAAGCATCCTGCATCAGAAACGACGATATCAGTGGCGATTGAGCCACTGGGATCAGTAGAGTTGGCCAACATCAGAAGGGGAGAGACGGTTACTTGAGCAGGAAATTATGGGAGGGACAAAGAAGATCAGTTAGTTAATCTCTAGTTGAGGAACAGAGCGGTTACCCCATGATGGACAGGCTGTTAGATCTTTGTCGCAGTTATATAACCTTTTTTGTTAGCTTTTTAAGTCTGTGTTTTTGGGCTCATTTCTCTCTATTGGGCCTCTCACTTCACGACCCATTTTGGTTCTTTCCAATTCTTCAGCATTCTGTCATCCAAATCTTACACGAGGGAGGGATGATAAGAACTGTAACAAGTTGAAGAGAGAATCAGTCACGTGTACAATGAAGACGATGGCCAAAGAAGAACAAATCGCCATGTACGGCTTAAGAGTTTAATATCATTATTGAACCAAGATTTGGCAAAACGAACTCATCTTGTTTCATCTGTAGAGAAAGATGACCATAATAATAGTATTATACGTTCAATGGCGAACAACATAAAGAATACTCTGAAGGTTCTGTTGGGTTCCCTTCAGGTTCCTAGCATGCGATCTCATCGATCTAGGGTTTGGTTTCTAGGTTTCATGCAGCGGAAGGAAAGATCTAAACCTAGCCAAACGTCACACAAAACCAATTGTGCAATAACCCGAACAATCGTGTATATCGTCGTGGGATTCGAATACTTACCTCGTTCTTTCAAGATCTGGAAGTATCAATCGATCCAGGGCCTGTTTTAATCACCGAGAGTTGAAAGCACAACTCCTCTACACGTATCCACACCGGCGGGATGAATTCCAACGCTTTGGAACGTATCTGCTAGGATTTGTGAAGAGAAAACCGATGTCCTTGACTTGGAATCGATATTCCAATCTCTATAACTCAAAATCAAGCTTCTCTAAGCTCTCATCAGAATCTAGGACGTCTGAGGTTCTTCTTTTAGGGTTTGTGGCGGCTCTCATATTAATTAGGATTGCCCAAAACCCTTAAAACGCGAAAAACCGAAAACTGCCCGTAAGTCGGACCGTCCGTTCCAGGCCTGGAAACCCTAACCCAAGAAAATGTTTAGCGAAACCCCCAGTTCTTGTCGCTTTGGAAAATTAATCTGAGAAGCGGAAAAAAAGGTATAGTTTTCAGTTTCGTCTAAGAACAAAAGAAAAAGGAAGAAATTATGCGTGGGTTACAACAATGACAAACAGAAAGCGACGTCGTTTCAAAGTGTATGTAGAAAAGGCCCATTGGGCCCAAGGCCCACCCCAACCTCCAAACAACGACGTTTAACCTGAAGACCACTGTTTCATCTTCCCTCGTCTCGGCACTTCTTCCATGGCTTCTGCAAACGATTAGAACCACTCCCCAACAAGCGCTAACTCCGTAGGCTACGTCTTTTCGAAGGCTATTTTTGAGTTTCAATGCCGTATCGACACCTCTTCCGCCCTGGTAAGAATGACTACAAAGACTATTGCTGCAGTGAAGGTTTTAGCTCGCCGTGATGCATTCCAATCATTACAATGGAAGATGAAAGGATCATGAGGCTGATGCCCATATCCTTGCATTTCAGAATACACAGAGAGCATCAATTCACGCCATTTTCCATGGATCACTAAGATGGTAACAACTTGGAACTGAATTCCTGATGAAGATACTTTTTTTTGTATAAATTTGCTTTGTTGTATTGATATCCGATAAATTACATTTACAAAAAGTTCAAATCACCAAAAGCAATAAGGGATTCCCATGTTGTGCGGGCCAAAAAAAAGATAGTCTTAACTAGCTAGCGGTAATGTGATACCATAGTTGCAGGATTTCATTCATGCTTGACTCTCTCGGTTTTTGCAAGGATATGAGAACATTTCTCATAAGTCGATAGACCTTGAGCTTCATCTGGTTCACGAGGTCCACTGATTCTTGTGAATACGGGCGTTTCCCTCTTTCCATATCTCATAGACTACCAATTCTGTCAAGAGCTTCATTATGGTTCGCCTATTGCGAGCTCCTGTATTCACCGCGCGTTTAATCCAATCTAGACAACATCTCACATCCGGTGTTGGGTTTCCACCGAGCTTTTCAGCAAGTGACAGCCATAATGTGGAGCTGTAATCGCACTTAAAGAATAAATGTGTATGGGATTCGACATCTTTGCAGCACAAGAGCATCTGCTAGGCCCTTGTATTCCCCTTTGTGCCACCCTATCCGCCGTTGGCAGTCTCTGATGCAGTACCTGCTATAGAATGAAAGAGTAACGTGGAATTGCTCCCTTAAACCAGACCAATTCGTGCCATTGAACATTCTGATTTTGTCACCTGATCTGCTTCCATGTTTGTCTCGAGTTAAACGTCGCTTGGAAGTCATCATCTGCTGCCAAAGATAAGTGTCCTGTCCCCTGGCCATACTTGGTGGTTCCATCGATGAGAGAATGATGTGCAGTTGTGTATTCTGTCATTCCTCACCCTTGATAGATTCTAGTGGCCGTTATGGAGTGCATCAATTACTTTCGTTGTTTTACTCAGCCTCGTGAGTCTCGGACCCGATAACCAAATCAGTCTAAGTCTGAAAATTTTGTTATGCTCGTCAAGCCTTCGTATCCTTAGTCCTCCCTCCTTTTTCGGTTTACAGACAACATCCCAAGAGACCCGATGGCTAGACACGCTTTCTCGGCTGAATGTTGCCAAATGAATGTTGAACAAAGGTTGTCTATCTCTTTGATAACGAATTTTGGCAAAACAAATGTCATAGCCCATGAGCTTACCATTCCATATATCACCGAGACCACTAACTGAATTTTCCCCGATGCCGACAGATACTTGTTTAGCCAACCTTCCAATTTTTGCTTGATCCGATGTATCAGTGGCACAAAATCAGACCTGCATAATCTGATTGAGCTCAGCGGGACGCCTAGGTATCTCACCGGGAGAGTTCCTAGACCAATGCCAATGCTGGACGAGATATTTGCAGGATGGTGATTTTGTTCTTTTCAATCGTCAGCCGAGTCTGCACAAAATGTCTATTATGGGCCACAGAATTAGGATTATGCCGTACTCCACATTTCGCCTGAATTTGTCTGTCACCTCTCCGTACAATGCTGATTTTGATGGTGATGAAATGAACATGCATGTCCCATTGATTATTCATCATTATTAATAAAACATAGGGGATGTAGCTCAAATGGTAGAGCGCTCGCTTTGCATGCGAGAGGCACGGGGTTCGATCCCCCGCATCTCCATTTTTCCATTTTGATTTAACAGTCTCCCTATTACGTTAAAACAAGGAAATCATGTATGTTCTTTTTTTATGACATTCAAATCACGCTAACAATTTAACATAGAATTCCCTAAGCTAAAAAAGAATAATGTATTGTTGGCATGATGATACAATTACACATTTTTATTAGATAATTTTCTTTTTCCCCATCAGATGGGCCGACTTTAGCCCATTTAAGCCCGTTATAATTTGGGTCAAGGCTTATTTATTTCTATCGTGTTTTCCGAAATCTCGTCACCAAACAATATATTATTTCTTTTAGCTTCTTGAAAATTATTTTAACTTTTTTTTTTTTTTTTTTTTGCAATCGTGAAAAATCTTTGATCCTCCGAGGAAAAATTTGAGTTGCCACCGCGGCTTTGGAGCCAGAGAGCACAGAGATCTGAGAACTGGAACAATGGATTACCGGAAAATCAAAGACGATGTTGCTTCCTCCCTCCATTTTTTTTTATTTCTTCGTGTCTTCATCTTGCTTCAAATTTTAGTTCTGATGCGCTGTAACGATTCTATACATCTTCTGAGCTGCAGGACGATCATGGCGTCGCTTCTGATATCGAGAATTTGAAGGGGAAATCTCATGCCGGTGGATTGTTCTCTCCCATTTCCCTAATCTCCACCTCTCTTCCTGTGGTTCTTTATGTTTGTGTGCTCATTGGTTCTACGATTTAGCAGTTGCTGCGAGTAATGCGGCGGTTGCTACTCTGGGCGGAGGATCGAGTGATCGGACCAATTGGAAACGAAAGTTAGCATTTTTCCTGAATCTTGAGTTTTTGCTGCGAAATTACAGAAATGGGTTTTTGTTAAACTTCATGTTTGCTGCTTGGTGTTGTCTGTGTTGAGGCAGGAGTGTAGTGACATTTGCACTGACTGTTCTGACGAGTTCACAAGCGATACTCATCGTCTGGTCCAAGAGAGCTGGCAAGTATGAATACAGTGTTACAACCGCTAATTTCTTGGTGAGTTGGTGACGATTTCTTCGTTTTGAGATGTTATGATGGTCTGGGTTATGAGCAGTTCCTGATCTCTGAATCTGAATCTGAATCGGGTATCAAGCTGAAATAGTGGGTTTTATTTTCTCTATTTGAACACCAGGTGGAGACTCTGAAATGTGCAATATCACTGCTCGCCTTGTCGAGAATATGGAGAAACGAGGGTGTCAATGATGATAACAGGTTTAATTTGTTTTCGCTACTGAATGCTTCAAGGGGTTTTTTTCCTGGGAAAGTGCAATGAGATTCAGTAGTGTGATAACAACATTTTGATTAGGGATTCCAAACTCGACTTAATGTTTTTTGTTTATTTCGAAAATCGTAAAAGATCTATTATGCCTCTGCATATTGCTCCACGGTTTTGTTATTTCTTGGAGCTTATTGTTGCTAAGAAAGAACTCTTCATCGGTAGTCATGCGAGGCATTTAAAGGGGATCATGTGTTTGGTAAAGATGACAATAGAATGAAGGGTTAAGCTTAATATGTATTACTCCTTCCTGATATCTAATCTTGTTTCCGGACCAGGTTAAGTACAACTTTTGAGGAAGTTAAAGTTTATCCCATTCCCGCGGCGTTGTATCTTTTCAAGAATCTGTTACAGGTGGGCCTTCTGTGATTTTGGCATACATGGATATTCATTCATTCCTTCCGATCTTCATGTTGATGTGTATCTATATTTCTTGTGGTGTCACTCTGTGTTCCAGTACTATATTTTTGCATATGTGGACGCCCCAGGCTATCAGATACTGAAGAACTTGAACATCATCAGTACTGGTGTTTTGTACAGAATTATATTGAAGAAAAAGTAAGATGTTTATTTTTCCAAATCGGTATTATATTTTGCAATGTTGATCTGTCCCCATTAGATATCCATGAGGTTCCCTTCATATCCTTTTTTCTCTTGGTGTAACGGTGTTTGAGGCACAAACCTGCTGGTTTGAAGTGTGAAAGCTCGGTTTATATTTTTCTGACTAAATTTTCTAACAGATTGAGCGAGATTCAGTGGGCAGCCTTCATCCTGCTGTGTTGTGGATGTACCACTGCTCAACTGAATTCCAAGTATGTGTGGCTCTTAAATCTTGATTTCCTTGGGCATTGAATCTTTCCAAGATGAGCTTCAGCAATTTTTTCCTCTTCAGTTTGTGTTTATATGTGCTTTGTCGAAAATTACGGCATATAATAGATATATTTCTATTCAGTATTTTCTCATATATAGAGCTGCTTTTGCAGTTCTGACCGAGTTCTTCAGACATCTCTTCCTGGCTGGGTTATGGCAATTGTAAGTTGTTAGTTTTCTTACAACGTTGTTTCCTACTAAAAGAAGTTGTTGCAGCATCTTCTGAGATGGTTAATTAACCTTAACATTTTTCATCTTTTTAGGTTATGGCTCTTTTGAGCGGTTTTGCCGGAGTATACACAGAGGTTAATCTTTTAGGACTACTTACAATACTTTGATTGCTCATTGATTTTACTGGTGTAATCGAGCACAATATAATTTGATCATTTGGTCCATAACTTGTAAGGCTCTTCCCCTAAGGATCTTGCGTTGCTTCTAACGTTGTCAGGCTATTATCAAAAAGCGGCCCTCGAGAAACATAAATGTGCAGAACTTCTATCTGTATGTCTTTGGGATGATCTTCAATGCTGTTGCCATAGTCATTCAAGATTTTGACGCCGTTGCGAACAAGTAAATCCGAGAATCTTCTCCTCTTGTTATTTCATTCCGCATTCGCTATGGAGGAGTCCATGTGCATTTTTGCCCCTGAATATATATTTTTTGTCCTGTACACACACATACACACACACGCGGTTTTGGTCCATATGGAGTAGCTGGTTTACGTGTTCATCGTGTACATCTGAAGAAATAATCTCTTTATTTAGCCCTTGGAGATGAGAATCCGTTACTGTCTGTCTGCTGGTATTTTATGTTCTTTTGTCCTCATAAAGCAAATCATCTGTTTTCATTACTGAATGGATAAACTATGTTCAGGGGATTCTTCCATGGTTACTCACTGATAACAGTACTCATGATTCTGAACCATGCCCTAAGGTAAGCTCATTTCCTTGGTGGGGTTCTCTTATGCTGTCTCTACTTTAGACCAAAAGTTCCCGTGGAGCAGATTTTGTGTCCGATGAAACACTCGTTTTCCTGTATGTGCAGTGGCATTGCGGTCTCGATGGTAATGAAGTATGCAGACAATATTGTGAAGGTAACATGTGAATGCATCATCCTTCCTTCTCCTGCAGATTTCCTTAGAGTGCATGTGAAAACTTGATTAAGGTCTCTTTTTAACTTTCTTTTAATCTATCCTTATTTGAAGGTCTACTCGACATCGGTGGCAATGCTTCTCACAGCGGTTGTGTCTGTTTTCCTCTTCAACTTTCACCTTTCCCTAGCCTTCTTCCTCGGCTCAACGTAAGCTTCCTGCATCAAATGTTTACAGCAAAACGCGTTTTCTCCCATCAACGTAAAGTTTCTTCCTGAACGCGTACCATATTTTCCTTTGCTTACCGATGAATACGCTGTTTTGCTTGTAGGGTTGTCTCTATTTCGGTATATTTGCACTCCCTCGGGAAGCTACGATAGCGAAGATCTCTCTGCTCTTCTGACAACATCCGAGGATTAGTACAGCGGGACAAGCTGCGAAAGATGCCTTTTGTTCCTCCGGTAAAGATTTGCAACTCTCTCCAAAGAGATTTCAGATATCACCAAGAAAGTTATACTACTTTCAGTCATTCATTATGTCTTGTAACTCATTTGCTTTACTGGTTATCCCAGAACTGGTTTCTTGATTCACACTTGCATCTGTATTCAATATATTCTCATTTGTTCGAGTTCTGTCCATCACCAAAGTCCCATCTTTATTTAAAAAAAAATGGTTTTTTTCTATTATTTATTTATTAATTTGTGGACGGATTCCTATGTTTCCATTGATCAATGATTCTTCTTGGTCTTTGTAACATAAAACATTCTAAAAGTACATTATATTATTACAGAGAACTGCATGCTTGCCGCAAAAGCCTTCACTAAAAGATCCTACCTTGAAGACTCGGAGTTCGGCCTTTACTTGGTTAAAAAATTCGTTGTCTTTGCTTCAAAGCCAATACTTTTACTCTGTCTCTGTCTCCATCTCCATATAAACCCTTCACCTCCCCTCTCTTCTTCACACCATCTCTTCTCTTCCTTCTCTGTTTTCCATCTTCAGCTAAAACAGCTATGGATTCCAAGTTCTCACTCTCTGTTTTCGCCCTTTCTTTATCTGGTCTCCTCTGTTGTGCTCTTGCCCACGATTTCTCCATTGTCGGGTATTCGCCCGAGCATTTGGCTTCCACCGATAAGCTCCTCTATCTCTTCGGGTCGTGGATGTCCAAACACAGTAAATTTTACGGCAGCTTGGAGGAGAGGGTGCACAGATTCGAGATTTTCAGAGACAACCTGATGCATATAAACAGGAGAAACAATGAGATCAGTAGTTACTGGCTTGGTCTGAACGAGTTTGCGGATTTGACTCACGATGAGTTCAAGAACAGATATTTAGGGCTTTCGAAACCAGAGATCTCTAGAAAACGTGAAACCTCTGCTAAATTCAGGTATAGAGACGTCGACGGTTTACCCAAGTCTGTGGATTGGAGGAAGAAAGGAGCTGTAACTCCAGTCAAGAACCAGGGTTCATGTGGTAAATACCTCTTCTCTTCATAATCTTCTTGGTGTTGATATCATTGAAATCGGGTGTTTTGATTTGTGTTCTTGTTGATGCAGGGAGTTGCTGGGCGTTTTCTACAGTTGCAGCCGTTGAGGGGATCAATCAGATCGCAACCGGGAATCTGACCACATTGTCCGAGCAAGAACTGGTGGACTGTGACAGAATCTTCAACAATGGCTGCAATGGAGGTCTCATGGACTACGCATTCGAGTACATAATCTCCAGCGGTGGCCTGCACAAGGAAGACGATTACCCTTACCTCATGGAGGAAGGGACTTGCCAAGAACAGAAAGTACACCGAAAACACGATGAATCTGAATCAAAAGCTTTAGTCTTTTTTTTTTAATACACAGATGATTCACATACATGTAAATGAATGATCTTACAGGAGGACATGGAGCTCGTGACGATAAGCGGTTATGAAGATGTTCCACATAACGATGAGGAAAGTCTCCTGAAGGCCTTAGCTCACCAGCCTGTAAGCGTGGCCATCGAGGCCTCAGGAAGAGACTTCCAGTTCTACAGAGGGGTAACACAACAAACATGAACAATTCAGACAGCTAAAACTAATGTTTTTTTCCATACTCTTACCACATAAAAAAATGTCGGGACTGTCGATGTTATAGGGAGTTTTTGATGGACCGTGTGGAACTGACTTAGACCATGGAGTAGCTGCAATAGGCTATGGATCATCGAAGGGATCGGGCTACATCATTGTCAAGAACTCATGGGGATCAAGATGGGGAGAGAGAGGTTATATCAGGATGAAGATAAACACAGGTAAACCAGAAGGACTATGCGGCATCAACAAGTTAGCCTCTTATCCTACCAAGGCTAAAAACTGATGCATTTCCTCCACATCTTGCAGTTTTTCTTCTTTTGTTTCTTTCTTTCTTCTTCATGCAACCTTGATTTTAACCATTTCAAACACACATCAATTTGTATTGATGAATGTTGCATCTGAATAATATGGTCAAAGTATCTTCATCTACTTCAGTAAAGAGCATTGTCAAACAATCAAAATTCAGAGAGAGAGAGAGGTGGGATAAAAAATCTTATCTTTGATCCGCCGAAAATGTTGATAAACGAACAAAGATATCGGCTTTGATCGGGAAGGCGAAACGGGTGCCCTACGCGACTCCTCCTTCAGTCTTGATGGCATGAGATATGGTCACAAGACTCACAACCGCAGAAATATGTTTAGATGCATTTTATAGCCACTAACCGAAACATGACTTCAACAACTGAAGTATCTAAATTTAGTAAAGTACCAATTACATATATTTGGCATCTAAGAGAAAAGCAGAGATAGCTGAGTGTTGGAGGTACACATCACTATTTCAGCTCCAACCTTGCAGGAAGAGGAACCAAATCCAGATGAAGCAAAAGAAAAAGAAAAAAAAAAGAGCAGAGTTAGCCTCAAACACAGATGACGATGTCTGCCTTTATGTTCTTCAAGTCTTGTCAATTCAGCTTCATATTATGACAGCAGATGATTATGAATCAATCTGGTCATGTTGCGGCTGTGTTGAGATCCGGTAAGTCTTGCCTGTTTGATCCTGATGTTGTTCGTAATGCCTGTCATTTCAACTATGAGCGCACGGCAAATATGATTCATTAACAAACCGAAATCGAAACGTAATACTAATCAGAGTACCAATGGACATGGACCAGGAACACTGCATTACCATCTAAATCCCTCAAGGTTCTGCATTTCCTCATTTGATCAAATCAATAAGACAGCAAACGAACACCATGAACACTCACAAGAACTCCGGGTTTCGGAAAAAAAAAGTGACGTGCTTTCTTCATTGAATCTTATCACGCAGGCCAGGAATAACGAATATGAGTTTCAACAGATTTCCATCGATTCCATGATAAATTACAAAAAAAAAAAAATCGTTCCTAGACAAATTCCCAATATCGAAAAGGAAAGATGCAAAAACTATATGAGACTATCCCCCTAAACCTTCATTTCTTAGCCTTGGAGAACCTAAGGCACCGATACTTCTCACCACTCACAGTGATTTCCAGAGCCCCATCTTGATTGTCCTGATTCGATGCCGTTCCCATTAGAACACTCTTCTCTTTCTCAAGATTCTCCCTCTCCATCTTCAACCTCGCCTCCTGTCTCGCAATCTCCGCCTGGGAAAACCCCAAATTCACCATGAAAACCGCCACAAACGCTGACGAATTCGCCGAATTTCAAAAAACACGAAGCTGAAATTCAAACGTACCTCGCGGCGGGAGAGCTCGGCTTTCCAGGCGGCTTCTCTCTCCGCCACTTCACGCTCACGCTCCTCGATGTAACTCTGCATCTCCCTCTCCTTCATGAACCGATCCTGCATATCGACGTCGAGAGCTTGCTTCAGCTCCTCCACGAACCTATCCACCACCGCTTTTATCCTCAACGACATCCCCTCCGGCCACCGGAAATACGCAAACAACTTCCTCCTCCTCCGCACAAATTCCCATTAGAACACTCTTCTCTTTCTCAAGATTCTCCCTCTCCATCTTCAACCTCGCCTCCTGTCTCGCAATCTCCGCCTGGGAAAACCCCAAATTCACCATGAAAACCGCCACAAACGCTGACGAATTCGCCGAATTTCAAAAAACACGAAGCTGAAATTCAAACGTACCTCGCGGCGGGAGAGCTCGGCTTTCCAGGCGGCTTCTCTCTCCGCCACTTCACGCTCACGCTCCTCGATGTAACTCTGCATCTCCCTCTCCTTCATGAACCGATCCTGCATATCGACGTCGAGAGCTTGCTTCAGCTCCTCCACGAACCTATCCACCACCGCTTTTATCCTCAACGACATCCCCTCCGGCCACCGGAAATACGCAAACAACTTCCTCCTCCTCCGCACAAACCGCGGCTACAACTGACGCAATCTGTTATCCGGCGTTGAAATACGGCCGCATTACCGGCTGCAAGACGATGCCCGATTCCGATTCTTCCTCATGGAGCTTGCGTGAACCGAGACGATGCCACCATTCCAGACGCCGCACAAATTCAGGACCTTTTATTTGTCTCTCTCTTTCTCTCCGTCTCTGTAAGAAAAAATGATTGGGCTTGACAAGGAAAAACCTTATTGGGCTTTGTCGACTACTTTATGGGCTTAATTGCCGGCCCATTTATAGAAGGTGTAATTATCTTAAACATGGGTATCAATTATTAAACTAAACTAAGCAATATATGGGATTAATTAGTATTATGAGAGATTAAATAAAGGGATTATTGTCAGAAAATGAATTAATTAAGAGGGAATGTACAAAAGGTCACATGCCCTTTTGTTCGTTTACGTACCATTGGCATTCGGGGGGAATATGAGCCTAATTAGTTAAATAATTAATATCAGAAAGTTGAATGATTATTAAAGTTTCCCATTAATTAATTATTAAAGCTTTAACCAATAACTTTGTCTTTTTCCTCTTATTTAATTATTAGTATTAGCAAATGGCTATTTGTTTTCTTTTTCCTCGGAATGCTAATGATGCCATTTAAACAGAGATATTCTCTGCTAAAAAAATGCATGTACATACATAAATGTATATATCATATAAAAATGGAATTCTGTCAATATAATTATAATGATTTTTTTTAGATTTTAGAATATTATTTCTATATGGTGAGATTATTAGTTTTGTATAAGCCATATATTTTAAATATAAAATATTATTTTTAACTATCTATAATAAATATTTAGTAACCTTCCCAAAATATGTGCGTGTTTTAACTTTAACATTGGTAAAACAAGATGGTAACTTTAAGTAATGATGAAGCCATCCTATGAAGGGGGATAAGTTGCCGATGTGGCACCTTAAAATAGGGGTGGGCGTTTCGGTTCGGTTCTTCGAAATCGGACCGAACCGAGCCGAAAAACGGATCGAGCCAGAAAAACGGTATTTTTTTCGATCCGAAATCGTTCTTAATTCCCGAACGGTATCATTTTTAAAGAACCGATTTTTTTCGGAACCGAACCGAACCGAATCGAACTTTAAAAATCCCGAAAAACCGAATATTTTTAAAGAAAATCTATCCATTTTTTTAATAAAATCCAGAACCGAACCGAACCGATACCGAAACCGAACCGAACCGAATACAATATAAAAATCGATTGGTACCTATTTTTGTAAAACCGAAAAAACTGATCCGATCCATTCTCGTCCCGAATCCGAACCGTTTTCCAAAACGCCAACTCCTACCTTAAAGCACAAAGATTAGTCTAAGTAATCATAGTTTCAACTTTTTTTTTTTTTCACTCATAGTTTCAACTTAATTAAACTTTATAATGTGTAATCATAAAAATTATGGAGTGTGAATGGTTATGTAAGCCATGCTAGCATTTTTAATGGCTCAAGAAAAAGGTTTTGAATAGATATCCATTAAGCACAAAGGAAAGCTCCTCGCCACTTCGGAATAAAAATACTTAATTTTCGCATTTTATTTTTCAATATATATATATATAAAATATACAAATATGCATATTTGGTTTTACACATATTTGGTATTTATATGTGGCTCTTTTTATCATCTTTTTTTTTGTTAATTTCAGCTGTATATTGTGTTAAATTATGTTTAATACTTTTACGTAGTAATAACTAAAAATTAAATTATGTCCAATAATGTTTCCTCACGTTCACTTCTTTTACCAATAATTCCAAAAGATAAGTGGGGTAGATTTTTGCATATAAGAAAAATAATGGAAAAAATGAATTAAAATAAATGTTGTAAGAAAAATAGAAATGCTAATCAGACATAAACCGCAAAAAAAAAACCAACATAAAAAAACTATAAATATAGTTATTTTACAGGCAGAACAAATCAAACAGTAAAATAAACACACACACATGTATATATTCATATATAATCTTTGCTATGTTTCTAAAGAAGCAATAACAATCTTGATTTACTCCGACGTTTCATTTGTTGATGTGATTATTCACATTAATGTTCAATCCTTGAAATGCAATCTTCATATATAAATATTATGTTAACTCGATATATTTCACTATATTACATAAACGTATCTCATAAAATTGTTCATTGAAAATTTACTTTGACCATCATTTTGGGTAAAAGGATATATATATTTCAAGGTACTAATCACACTAATTAACCTTGATAACTTGATTAAGAAATCTAAGTTTCTTCAAAATTGGAAAAATTATATCCATTATTTGTTTCAGTTTTTATATTGAATTTCAAATATAATCTGATTCAATTTTAATTTATTTTCGTTGATAAAAAATATTTTAAAAAATTATTTCCATTTTCAGTTATTTTTTTACCAATAATATTTGAATCAGTATTTATATTAAATATATTCAAATTAGATGATTAAATATTATTAGATATTATTGTAAACGTTGAAGTTTGACCACCATTTTATAAGTCTTATTATATTTCATTTTAAATTTGTTAAAATTGACCACTAGTTATAAGAAATTAAAAAAAACGGTGACAAACTCTCCAAGTATATCCTCTTCCGGACATCACGATTTTATATTTTAATCCTATAATTTACAGATTACGCACATAAGCTCGCCCCAGATAGTTCGAATTTTTATGTATAAAACGTCTTCATCGATAATTAGTTATATATATATATATATATATATATATATATATATCACATTAATTCATGTTGGTTAGTGGTAAAGAGGAACGAGGCAAATCATATGATCCGCAATCCGCATGTTGCTGCAGTAAAGACCAAACATAGCGTTAGGTGACGCAACAAGGAAGCTGCGGCTAAGGTTCCTTCAGACCAAACGAGAAGATTTGACTTTGCAACTTTCATCGTCATCGTCATCATCATCATCATCATCATCACCATCATGTACATTCATCGACGTTTAGGGATGTAGCCGTTTATATTGAAAAGCCCACCATCATATGACCATGCCTTGACGGTCACAAAAGCTAATTCCTCCTTTTCCCACTTCAGCTTTGTCGTGGAAATTCTACACGGTCTTTCATTTTTGCTCTCCCTCCCTCTCTCTCTCTCCTTCCACAGATTCCTTCGTCTCTCTCGTAGAACCCATCAACCGGCGCTAGCATCGCTTCAATTCTCATACCTGTCTGTATTGATTATTAGATGAGAGCTTTGTTGTTCTTCTAGGGTTCTTGAGTGAGGTCCTGTTTTTTGGAACCTCTTTATTTATTTCACGAAGATCTGCCTTGCCACTTTCAGGTTTCCACTTCACCACTTCTTCACATCTGAGCTGAGTTTCCGTTTCAGTGCTGGCACTTAGAACAGTACCACTGAGCCGTAATAAAGAATTCACCTTTTGTTTTTATGGTGTTTTGTCTGCTAAGAGATCGTCGCGAAAAGAGATAGTGCTTGTTTCGGTGCAGAATTAATGTCTGGTCCGGAAGCAAACACGGCTCCTCGCTATGTGCATCCACTTCTAGGGCAAGAGCTTCATCTACAGAGACACAACATTCCGACTACCCCTCCTGAGAATCACCTGGACCGACGCAGCGAATCCGCCGCCGTCACGCCCACCGCCAGCTCAGCCACCGCCTCCGGTCGCCGTCCACGTGGACGTCCTCCAGGTTCCAAGAACAAGCCCAGGTCTCCGACAATCATCACCCGAGACAGCCCTAATATCCTCAGATCCCACGTTCTTGAAGTCTCCTCAGGCTCCGACATCGCCGACGCCATCTCCACCTACGCAAGACGACGGCGGGGCCCCCTCCTGCCGGCGGCATCGTGACGCTGCATGGCCGGTTCGAGATACTTTCCCTCAACGGGACGGTGTTGCCGCCGCCGGCTCCTCCTGGCGCCGGAGGCTTAACGGTGTACCTCGCCGGAGGTCAGGGACAAGTCATCGGAGGTAATGTGGCTGGGCCGTTGGTGGCGGCTGGTCCGGTGGTCCTGATGGTGGCGTCGTTTGCCAACGCCGTGTACGATAGGCTACCTGTTGAGGAGTCGCAGCTGGGGGAGGTGACGGGGAGTGGGGCCCAGGCGGAGGAATCCGGCGGGGGCAGAAGCGGAGGTGGGCTCTATAGCTTGGGAATGAGCACGAGCAGTTATCAATTCACCGGCGGTGCTCAGAGACAGGCGTTATAGCTAGCGTTAGCGTCTGAGGCCGCTTCTGCGTTTGCGTTTGGGAGTGTCTGTCGACATGGAAGAAGAAGAATGTCTATTTATAGTTTTGTTTTGTCGAAGAAGATGATTTTAATTGGTTTTGAATCCAGACAGCAATTAACTGCCGCTTCTTACAAACAGGGATTACTTGCTTAGGTTTAGGGTTAAGATAGTTCTATCCTTTCGTTCTTCTCTTCTTTTTATTTACGTTCCTTTTATTTTAGATTAATTTATAAATTGTGAAGAATTCAAAGAGTGAGCAGATTAATATATTTTATGAAAACGTTTGAATTCTTGCAAGAATTTTTAACTTCGATTGAAATCTATAAGATTATAAGCGTTGTATGTGCTTAGAGCTATATGTACATGCATGAATTTATATATGAATATAATATTTTGGTGAACTTAATTAACGTGTGTGAGAGAGAACGGAGTATGGAATATCGTCACATGTTCTTTGTGACTTTAAAATGCATTGAAACTTGAAAAATCTGCATGCATGCATTGTCTCGCATATGTGCCCCGAAATAGTATCTTTCAGAATTTGAAATTTTCGGGATTTTATTTTTTAATCCGGATTGGGCATTTTCGAGGTTGGAGTTTTTATATATATGTCACAGTTTGGTTTGATTGGATTTTTTTTAGAATTATGTTTTAATTAATTAAGGGAAATGATATTTTTAAAAGATGTTTTTATTTGAACACTGATACATATCATCCGTTGTCGTACCGAATTCAATTATATATTCACTCCTAGTAATGAGTAACAGTAACATAATTTCCTATCATCCACTTATTTGTATAGCGAATTCAGTTATTGAGATAAATTACGTAATGATTCTACAACTATTTATTTTTTACTATCGTGTGTGTATATATGTTCAAACCCATAGAAAAAATGGAATTTATTAACAAAATATTATATATGGATTTGTAAAACAACATTTTCTTAAAGAAAATACATTATTTGAGGAAAGTATAAACATAGTTAATTTGTATATTTATATATATAATTATATATCTTTATATTGTCAATCCTTTTATACAATCTGTATTCTTAGATTTATAAGTTATTTGAGATGTTTACGAATTTATTTGATAAATCGGATAGTTTGATTTATTTAGAAATTTTGTTATAAGATATATTTTTAAAGCCAATAATGAATTTTTTTTTAATTTGAAAATATTTTTTACACTATGCCCAGAATCAGAGTTAAATTTACATTTAACATTGAAAATCAAATAATTATTAAAATATTAGTTAAAAAGGTTTAAAATTATTTTTGAAAACCTATTGTTTGGATCCTGCTCAATGGATCCGACCCGGGTCCTCTGACATTGAATATGTGAATAAAAACATCCATTTTTGTTTTCTTTTCTCGCGATCATCGGCTCCTGTGATTTCCTGGAAAACAAGCTTTGGAGCTGCGGATTTGTTCCGTCTGAGTGAAAACATGGTAAGAATCATGCTCTCTTTGCATTCGGTTCGTGGCTTTGTCTTGAATTTTGGATCGGCCTTCGATTGTGTTGCAATTTTGATCTGCGGTGCTTCTCCGAAACAGCTACTCTTGTATCCGAATTTCGTATCTCCGGTCTGTTTCTCTATGTTGTGAGTGAATTCGGTATTGGATTTGATTTGATTGTCTCGTGTGGTGGTTTTCTGCTCGGATCTGCCACGCGCTTGCTCTTTCCTGATTTCTCTAAGCGCCATTGTTTCTTTCTTCGTGGACCAATGGATCGATGTGTAGGACTTGAGGGGGGTTTTCGGTTTGTTTGTACTAGGTTATAAAGTCAGTTTTTACCACGCAATTACTCTGTCTGAACTTGTTGGGAGGTAGAAATCTGGTTTTATGAGATTTACTCCCAGATCCTTGGAACAACCATTGATGTCGAGGAAACCTTGCTCTTTAGTTTCTCTGGGTTTGATCCTCTTAGTTTGTTATGTGGCCTTGCTTCTGTTTTCCAGTTTCGTATGCCTACATTGGCAAGAAGTATGGTTGTTCTGTCCTTACTTTCACTTGGTTCCCTCGATAAGTTTCTGGAAATGGCTTTCCTTGTGATGTCTTAGCATCTGCAATCCCGTTTAAAGGTCGAATTTGATCATGATACTTGGTTTTCAGGTGAACGAGAGTTGATGTTTTGACTCTCGGGGCTTAATCTTTCATGCACCTTTCTCCTTGTTAGCTTATGCGGATTTTCCTTTGTCTGCTCTGATCATGCTAGTTGGTCTGATATAAATCCCTTGTTTGATTTCTTTTTACTCAAAGAGCTATATTGCAAATCGGAAATTCTCTCTACGGGTAAAATCTTGAGGCTTTGGATCTAGAAGGACATCTTTTCGTGATTTAAAACCTCCTCATGCTTGAGTACTGTCACCAACTTACTATCAGGGCTAAACATATTCTTGGTAGCTAGATACAGGCAAAAACATTTTGCACATCATGGGTTGCTATGCATAACAATTATGTTTATCGTCATGAAAAACTTTTAGGGAGGTTATCCAGGTCGAAAATCAGAGGTACTAATTGTGGATTATATTGATGCGCATTTCAGATACATTTCGTGCTTCTAGTCAGCCGGCAAGGAAAGGTGAGGCTCACCAAATGGTATTCGCCCTATACGCAGAAGGAAAGATCTAAGGTATGCCCGTCTAAACGCTTTGCATATCACGTTATCGAGATCCCCAGTCATGCTTGGGTTACATTTCATCCAAACTGGAAACATGTTTTGTAAAGGTTATACGTGAACTGAGTGGAGTAATCCTGAACCGAGGTCCCAAGCTCTGCAATTTTATCGAATGGAGAGGATACAAGGTGGTCTACAAAAGGTAAGGTCAAGGTCGTAATCGTATGTGTTGTCAGATATTTTCGGGTTTGTTAAAAACATTGGGATTTACAAAGATGATTATGCTGTGTGCGTTTATGCAGATATGCAAGCTTGTACTTCTGCATGTGCGTTGATCAGGACGACAATGAGTTGGAGATCCTCGAGATAATCCATCACTACGTTGAGATACTCGACCGCTATTTTGGTAGTGTGAGTAATCCCATATCGGGAAATTGTAATTTCTCTCTATTTCCCCCCCTTATATAACATCCACATTTTGATTCCGAGTGCGAGTGGTTTATATGCGAATCAGGTGTGTGAACTGGATTTGATTTTTAACTTTCACAAGGTATGTCTACTATCCTGAACTCTATCCTGCATTGTCTATTTCTTGAACCTTGACAACAATTTCTTTTTTTTTTTTTGTGTGTTGCAGGCGTATTATATACTGGACGAGCTCTTGATTGCCGGCGAACTTCAAGAGTCGAGCAAGAAAACAGTAGCGAGGATTATATCCGCTCAGGTTAGCACTTGAAATCTGGCGAAGCTTATGTAAATATAAGTCGTTTAGGGTTTTTGTTAACGGCGAGTGTTATGATATTGAAGGATCAATTGGTGGAGGCTGCGAAAGAGGAGGCGAGTTCGATAAGTAATATAATTGCGCAGGCTACCAAATAGTTTCTCCCTTCTTTGCTCTTGTCTGGTAAACACGTTTGCCTATATTGGGTTAAAAACGATGAAAACAGCATGCTATGTTTGATCCTGTTTGTAAACAGGCATGAAAAGCTTATATCATAAAATGTCTGTCTGAATGTTTTGATTCCGAGTGTGATGATATTGAAGGATCAATTGCATTGTTGTGTTGATCATTTAAGTAGATACAACTATTTCATAGTCATACCACTCTCTCACTGCCCCCTTTATTGTTTACCATATGTAGCCTTGCTCTCGAAGAACGACTCTTTAAGAGGTATGAACTCGAAGCCGAGGCTCTTTATCTTGGGGGTATCGAATTCATAACACAGCCTATTTTAGTTTCTCGAATCGAACATGAAAACGTCGAATAGGAGGGATGATTGGTTGTCTGTATTATGGGGTTCAAGTTAATGTTTGACGGTTATGTTCTATAGGGCAGGGAGAGGACATAACTCGTTGTTCCATGCCATTGGAACTTGTCTGGTTCTCTCCTGATGATGTTCAAACCGACAGGTTAGAAACTTGAGAATGATGTTGCGGTTGTTGTGCAAATTATCATACAGCTTCAGCTTGAGAAGGGGATCCATGGAAACTCCGAGAAAATTGGATGTCCAACTCAATACCTGATTTTTTTCAGCATGTGTTGGCGATCACTCTGAACTTCATGATTCGAATTTGGGTATCCATCAACGGATTAGGAGGCGAGGGGCGAGCGGTGAGAACGAGAGGAGGGACGGGCGATGAGGACGAGACAGGCGGCGAGAGGCAAGGGCCATAGCAAAGATGTCGATTGTAGGTATTGTTGGGCAAATAAACCCAAATCAACGCGCTTGCCGTCCAACCCTTTGCTCCTCTCTCGTCCTGTCTCGGCTTCAACGCCATCGTTTCGCCCCCTCGTTTTACCCTTCGATTCTTCCTCGTGGTTCAGATGATTTGTAGATATCTCAAGCATTTGTAATATCCATAATACGGATGTCGAGAGTCAAATGGTGTGAGAAAGTACAAAATATTTCCACAGCCACGGTTCGACTCCATTCTACACATCATCAATATAAAAAAATAAAAACAAAAAACAAATGTAACATTTGATCTCAAATCCCAAAGTTTTTAAGAAATGATTTATTTGAGTTTCATTTCGAGTTCGGTATTTAGTTATTTTGATTTTAAAAAAATTACAAGCGTTTATATTTTTATATTGGTTTGATTTGGTTGTATTCGATTCGGTTTTGATTTTTATTGATAAATATTATTATTTTATTAATTAAAATTTTGGTTATTTTTTTATTCCATTTGATTAGATTTTTTTGTTTTAAAAACATCATAACATATTCAGTTTTATATTGGGTTTGATTCGGCTAACCATTTTATATATATATATATATTGAAGGCTTGGGGACGTACGAGTGGGCCCAGCTAGCTTTGAATATAGGGCCTCCAAATTTAGGTCCAAACCTCCAAGTAAGGGGTGATTATGTCATTTTCCTCTTCTTCCGTTTTCAATAATTCACATAAATATATAAATATTTGAAATGAAAAAAATCACAGACCACCACATCATATCTGTTTTCTTCTGCGGCTGCCACAAAACTACTCTTCTTCCTTTCCCTCTGCTCACTGAGGCTCTGCGATAGGTCTCTTCTTCCGACGGATATTCCTGTTTGATCTTTAATTGTTTCAATCGGATATTTTTGTTATTCTTTTTCTGAATTAAGTCCGTGAATTTGATTTTTTTTAGGGTTTTAGTGAATCCGATGGCTTCCAATTCAGAGAAGAAACCTTCTCCTTCAGGTAACGTTTATTTCTCCGTCAGGTGTGGTTCTGTTGCTCTCGAATCTCCTTCGTAGATGTATTGATCTGCTGTTTGGAGCCGATTTAATTTTTTTTTCCAAAATGAAAAATCCTCTCTGATTTCTACTTGATTACTTGTGTCGATTGTTTATCTCGATTTATGTTTTGCTCAGATTTGGCGGTTGTTTTGTTCGTCTCTGAGTTTAGATTATTGTGTAATTTGTTTCGGCAGGTGAGAAAATCGATTCGAAGGAGGTGAGGGATTCAACGGCCTCAGGGAGTCCACCTTCATCAGCTCAGCCCAACCCTTTCAATGCTTTTGATTTCTCTAATATGTCCAGTTTGCTCAACGTAAGTGCTCTTTATTTTGCTCGATTTCTTAAATGGCAAACACGATTTCTTATTTCTCCGGGTCTTTACTGATGGATTATAGGATCCAAGCATCCAACAATTGGCTGAGCAAATATCTCAGGATCCTGCATTCAACCAGTTGGCGGAGCAGCTGCAGAAATCCTTTAGTAACACCCCATCAGATGATAGCATTCCTCAGATTGATCCGCAGCAGTATTACGCCACGATGACACAAGTTATGGAGAATCCTGGCTTTAAGACGATGGCGGAACGTCTTGGTAATGCCTTGCTGCAGGTAATACAGATGTTTCCGTTTTGTCATAAGATTCTTTTGCAAACATCGGGTGGACAAGCCAAGAAACTTTGTGTTTTTTTCTTTTGTATCAGGAGCCATCAATGTCTCATTTGGTTGAGAATTTAACAAACCCCGAAACAACGGAGCAGTTTGCCGAGCGGATGGCGCGTATGAAAGAAGATCCGTCCTTGAAACCTATGCTAGATGAGATTGAGGCTGGAGGCCCTTCTGCTATGATGAAGTGGGTGATAAAATATGTGCACAATTCTAGAGATCTCATTTATATGCTGTTTTTTGCTCATGGAGGATTAAGTTTTGTATGGCGTTAGGTACTGGAATGATAAAGATGTGCTGAAGAAGCTCGGTGAAGCGATGGGTATGGCGGTTCCTGTGGACCAGCCTGCTTCATCTGAAACTGAAGGTGCCGACGAAGGGGAAGAAGAGGAATCTATTGTTCATCATACTGCTAGTCTGGGAGATGTTGAGGTAAACCTCTTCTTATATATTAACTTCTCTTATTCTTGTCAATTTGAATCTTATAATTCTTATTTATAAGATAACCCAAACGGTTACACTTCCTGATTGGAAATATTGCTGGAGGAATTATATTGAACAAACGAATCTGTACCCTTAATGCACTGGCCTCTTGAACTGATCAGGGTTTGAAGAATGCTTTAGCATCTGGTTGTGATAAAGATGAAGAAGATTCTGAGGGAAGGACAGCATTGCATTTTTCATGTGGATATGGTGAGGTATGTTAATGTGTCTTATCAAAGCAGAGAGATAAAAGTCTTTGGAGCTGTCATATATAGCAGAATCTTTACTATCATACCTTGTTGGTTGCACCCTCGCACTTACTTTGTAACTCGATTGAACCAAAAAAACAAAAACAAAGATGAAATAGAAGGAACAAAGAGTAGGAATTTAGCTGTCTAAAAAAGAAAGGAAATCTGATAACAGGAACGTGGCTCGGGCTTGAACTCAACTGACGGAATTGTGTTTGTTGCAGGTGAAATGTGCTCAGGTTCTTCTCGATGCTGGAGCAAATGTTAATGCGGTTGACAAGAATAAGAACACACCTCTCCATTATGCCGCTGGGTATGGAAGGAAAGAGTGTGTAAGCCTTCTCCTCGAGAACGGGGCTGCAGTGTAAGCGCACCCACCGCAACGTTATAACAGCTATTACATGAGGGTAAACGCATTAGTCTCGGCTGAATTTTCTTTTATATGTGATTGTATTCCTGCAGGACCTTACAAAACATGGACGGGAAAACCCCCATCGATGTGGCTAAGCTCAACAACCAGCACGATGTGGTGAAGCTTCTCGAGAAGGACGCATTCCTGTGAACTCAGGCCGTCCTTTACAAATGCTTTCGTTCTCGTGAGCGAATAGAAGATCGGAAACATCTGATGGAAGGTGCTTTCGTCCTGTTTCAAAGGGCCATGAATCATCATCTTCTGATTGTTGCATACTTTGTTCTTTTTGGGGTCCGCTGTTGTTTTGTCTCTGCAGATATTTTAACCGAATTGTAGGGTTTGAACCAGACTTCGAACTGAGAAAGGGTCGAATGTGGGTTTGATACGGAAAACGGATATTAAAAATTAAATGGGTACCTAGTCTCGAATTTCCATCAATTCGGATTTTAAGGTTTGGAGTCGAAATTCGTTATTGACACTGACAGATACCTGAGTTTCGGAATCCTTTTCGAATACTCTAGATGTTTCGGTTCGGTATGGTAATTTCAAGAAAAAGATTTTTTAATCTCAATTCTATTCGAATATTATCGGATTTAAATCCGTACGAATTTGAATTCATAGATTAGATACATTTCATACTGCGTCGTATTCGATCATTTGGATATCGCATCCGTATGTAGGTATAATGATGTTCACTTTGGGCCGTGTGGCATGTGGGTCAAAACCGGATGAAGCTGGATCCAACGGCCCGAAACCCGGTAGCGACGGGTCAACCCGGTTTGACCTTCTTAATTACCCGTACAATGCCATCGAGCTAGGTAAATATCGACGGAGCAAGGAGCAGACTTAAAAATCACTACGTACATGCATACATACATGTGCTGCCAGAGTGCGAATTTTATCTCCTTCGACTTCTCTATCCCT